GTGCGACACTCCGTCTTTGAGGGGGTGCACCTTCTGCAGACGAAGCAGTGGGTCTATTTATATCCCCCCGACCCACTGGGGGTAATTGACAGACAGACAGACAGACAGACAGACAGACAGACAGACAGACAGACAGACAGATAGACAGGCAGGCAGGCAGACAGTCAGACAGACAAGCATATGGTCACACAGCCAGACAGACAACAGGTAGACAGGCAGACAGACATACAGACACCCATACAGACAGACAGGCAGACAGACATACAGACAGTCAGACAGACAGGCTGGCAGACAGACAGACAGACAGACAAGACAGATTCAGTCTGCTTCCCTTCCCTTTAACACAAAAGTGTCAATATGAAAGAACGCCTTACCAACCGGCACCTGACATAGGTAACCATTTTCCTCGTCATGTCTATATCTAGGGAAATCGTGTTCTACCCAGCCTTCTGTTGTGAGCATCACTGCTAAATAAGGGGATGGCCTGTGAATACTGTGATCCTTTTCAACACTCCACCCGAAGTAATCGTCAGATGTCTGGGGCAAAGAGTTTAACTGAGTGGAAAGGTTTCACATCCTCATCAACAAAATATTATCTTGTCTTATCTTGTCTTGTCTTGTCTTATCTTGTCTTGTCTTATCTTATCTTATCTTATCTTATCTCCTCATGTCTTAAATCTCATCTCATCTTGTCTCATTTCATCTTGTCTTGTCTCAACTTATCTTGTCTCGTCTTGTCTTGTTTTGCCTTGTCTTACCTTATCTTATCTTATCGTATCTTATTCAGAAATTCAGAAATCTCCGATATTACAACCAGTCCCCTATAGGTCGAGACTCGGCAAGCAGGCCAAAAGACTTAGAATGCTCCTATATATGTGAAGCGTGCTGACAAAAATGAATTACTTCTCGTATTCAAACCTTAAGAAAATAGGTACATCACGTTTATAGGTGAAGTTTTTACAATTTATTAGTATGAAATAATAGAAGACAGGTTATAGTTAAGAATATGACATCAAAAGAAAATCTACAGATTTGACCCTAATGTCGATTTTTGGCCAATATTTCAATTTGTGGATTGCGAGAAGTAACTCGTTTTGTCAGCACGCCTCACATATTGTACAACAATAACAACAGCAATAGCAATAATAATACCGATTATTATTATTATTATTATTATTA